CCGGAAAGGATAATAGCGCGTTCGTTCCCCACCATAGACACCTGCGGTCCAGAGTTTTGCAAATATCTCAGCAACGTTGTGGTTGTATTTCGCTTAGTAACCTGCCATGAAAATTATAGAAGGCGGAAAACAAAACGTTAAACATTGTGAGTCCCAGCTTGAGTTGGCCAGTTTTCCCACTATATTATGAATGGTAGCGATAAGACGAGTATGGTGCAATGGTTGGAGGCGCCACACACACGTGAAGTCGATCTCCGCGCCCATGGCCCACCAAGCCTTCCATGCCTCCGGGGTTGGCAAATTGGTACCAGACTTGTCTGGTAGGATAGCAGCACTGACATCGGTAGGCCACCAGGAGCCATTGTAACGGTCAAATATGCATTCGATCACCTCCAACGATACTTAATGAAGTTGGATGAATGGCGCATCCCTCAGAGATTGATCAACGCCGAGAGTTTTATCCTTTATCCTTTTGTTATAAGTGTTACTGATTATGTAACCATTAATTAGTAGTCGTATACTGCAACTATTGGCTAACGTTTTAGTTTTATAGAAGAAAAGTTATGCTTTCTTACAATTGCCTCCGCTTTTATCGTTCCTTCAATGTTCCTCGAGTGCTATCTATCTATTACAAATATGAGTAAAACTGAAACTTCGACCTTTAGTCGTCGAAAAGATCATATTTACTTTAGATACTTCTTAGGAGGACTATTAACTTTGGTTCGAACCTTCATACGCAGGACGCTCATTGTCTTTGTGCATTCTAGTAGGACTGCACGTCAACCTCTTTGGAGTTGTAAGTCACATTCCGTTCTAGTCGCCCACATCTTTCCTCTTTTTAATTGCATTCCTTCGCTGGAGTTGCAATCGTACGGTGTCCATCGAGATTCGGTCGCCTAGAATAAACTTTTTGAGTTGCAGACTGGGTTGAATTGTCTAGCATAGGTTCCTTTTTCTTTTACACAATGGTCTTCCTAACTTTCTATAGTAAGTATTTATTTATAAGATGCTAATGTCTTAGCGATTCCTTTTTTCTAGTTGTTTCGAACTATCAGCAGCAGCTATGGAATATCATCTCAAAGTTCTTATGATAACGAAATATCAGCCTCTCTTTTGAAGAAACAGTAGATTTCAGATGCTATGAAAACAACTCTGACTTGTGGGAATGACGTGAACGTGGCCGTTGAACGTCTTGGCCCCACACAAATAAGTGCTACGAACTCATTAGTGCCACTTTGGACTTTATTTCTCCGTTAGAGAATTTTCGTCACTTTTAGCCAAACAATTGCAGACTTCTCAACAGCTCTTAAGGCTGTCAGTTTCGTGATATTCACGGGCCTTCAAAGCTCCGCCTTCTGCGGAGTCCTCCATAAGGAGGGTAGGCAGGAGGCAAGAGTTTCGTTGTGGCGGACATTTGAGAAACTTCTAACATACTGTTTACACTTATTCCTATGTGCTTTAGGTTTCCTATTCTCGTTGGCTGTCTTGTACCTCATTACTTTGAAAAATTCGTTAGAGGCTTTGCTTTCATTGCAGGTGATGTTATGCCAACGGCTTGTTGTCGCAATCTACTTGTGCGTTATACTTGTTCTACTATGCAGGTTCGTCCTATTATTTCTTCAACATTTTTCGCTCAATAACTTCAATTATATGGCGTTGATTGTTCTGACGGCCACCTCTTCGTTTCATTTGTTGTTTGGCTACTTTTCATTCAGAATACTTCTCCTCATTTGTTTTCCAATTACTTTTTCATTTGACATATCTCGTAAAAGGAGGGAAACACTAAGGCCTAAGTCCAAGTCCATTTCAAATTTTTATAGTAAAAACGTTCACTACATTCCCACCATTGAGCTTCCTAAATTTCCTTTCACTGTTATCAGACAGCGTCAAAAGACGAACGATCATATTAGTGACATTAGTTCGACCACACTTTTTTCTAGTACTCCCATTCCCTTTCATCAGAAAACCTTCTTAAAGCTTCTGCGTTGATCAATCCCTTGCGAATACGCCGTGCATCCACTTCATTCCAAGCATTGCAGTGGTTACTGTACGCATATCTCTCCCATACAATGAATTACAGCGAGCTACCGACTTCTGAAGTTCGTCTTAATTTTTATTTACAGCCTACTTATTTCATAACAGGTTACTAATATGAAACACATCCACAAGGATGCAAAGATATGAGCAAAGTTGAGATCCTTAGTGGGTTGAGTGATTACCCTTATCGAGGATTCACGTGCAATCCACCACACCAACCGAGGCCCATCCTTCGCCTTTCTCTCAGCCGGGTCTTCTGCTCTTACAGTGCTATCAGAAATCACCCATCAATGACTGTAATCTGAGAAGCATAAGTCGGCCAGCCAAGATGAAGCTCCAATAGAAATCATGTCAGTGTTTTTATCTTCCCAGAGAGGTGTGGTGACAATTTTTGGACACCGGAAGGATGAAGAATTAATGAGTTTGGGGCGCAAGGTTGAGCCAGGAACTAATCCATTTTATATTTCGAAGCACCTGTGACCACGGCGCTACACGCGTTCTTAATCATCCTTAGATGACGAAAAACTTCTAAATGAAATGAATTCGAGCATATGTGAATGTATGATCAAACTGATGAGCTTCGTCGAGAAATCTCATCCCAGGATATGCTCGAACACTTCCGTTCGTAGTACCCTATCATTTGGACTAGACGTTGTTCGGAATGGCCGCAATCGTTGCTGATGATTGAACGCCGGCCACCATTCTCCTGAATAGGACGTTGCGCATCACACATGAAGCACCGATGCATGGATTAGTCGAACAACATCTGACATGCAAACAAGAAAAACCGAACAGATCGCTGAAAAGAGAAAGTCCGACATTCATCGAATCTCAGTTTATATTATCTGCCCGCAGGGTGCGCGTCGCGCAGTGGTTGGAGGCGCCGCTGCGACACAAATGTGGAATTGATCCCCGCGCCTATGGCCCACCAAGCCCTCCATCCCTCCGGGGTCGGCAAATTGGCACTAGACCTGTCTAGGAAGATAGCAGCACTGGCTCGATACATTCTTAGGCCACCGCGAGTCATTGTTAAGGCCAGATATGCATTCAATCACTTCAAACGATATTTAATGAAGTCGAATTCATGGCGCATCCCTAAAGGGATTGATCAACGCCGAGAGCTTTTCTTTACCACCCGCACTGTGTTCACTTGCTATTTCCCTTTTGAGGTTTTCATTATCGTTTTCCTTATGAAGCTGTGAAGCTGTCGAAGAAAATTGTATTCATTGATATTATCCTAATTCAACGAATTCGCTTACGAGATTAACTCAAATGATTGATCTCCTTCTATCGATGAATTAAAATAAACAAACAAACGTTTTGGAAATCTTGTTAAAAATTAAGCGTTTGTACTAATTCTTAAATGTTTTCACCACTCCTTCAATTCTATGATACAGTAACTTTTACAGCATTCTGATTTTAGGGCTGAGACCGAGCTCCGAAAAGACAGGAAGCAACCGATGTCTGATGTTGGTCCGTCATTTATGAAGCGTACACCAGTTTTTCTTCGACCATATCGAATACTGGTAATGCGCTTACAATTCTGACACTTCACCTACCGCTCGGTCTTGTGAGCATCGGGTTGTAACGCGATGCCGAAACTACTGTTGACGTCAATACGTCTGTGGCGGAATCCGACCACTGTGTCCACCTGGGTGCCGTGTCCCCATTCGTATGAGTGCGGACAAATGACAAAACACTATAAATGCTCTGAATAGGGACATTCTTTCCAAGTACGCACGAGTTCTGCAAGTAAACAGTTGCTAAGCACTAGATTTTTTCGCAAATGTTGTTTTCACATGTTACATTGATCTCAAGGAAGAAGTTCTACATCTCATTATCTCACTTCTATGTAGATGTCATTAGCACGTTTTCATACTTTAGTAATGTATTTTATAGTCTTTCGATAGAAGCGATTGTTCTCACGTGAACTATCCTCTTCTGTTAAGTACTATTTTATTTAAAGAAGCACGTTATGAGAGTAAAAATTGTGGCTCTTACTCTTTACTTAATGAGAAAGGCAAAGCGGAAAAAAAAACAGCCAAAATAAACCTTTAACTACATTGCAATTACCTTCGGGTAGACTTCAGAGAGAAAATTCTTGAGGAATAAATTGAAACGATTTCTTTAAAACTGTTTCTAAAATGTTACACTGCCTGACGTTTATCAAGCCCTTACGGATGGGGTCATGCTTTCACCTCCATTTGTAGTGTCGTAGAAGTGATTGAAATCATGTTTGGTCTATACCGTGACAGTCGAGTGTCTATACCGATGCACCAACTCAGTTTTTATATCTCCCAGAAAAATTGCTTGTCTTCCTTAGTTTTTCTGGTACAAATTTGCCAACCCGGGGCTTGGTTTATTTGGGACCCGGTGTCGAACCAATGATGACGTGTTCATTGCACGGCGCCTCTACCTATTGTGCTATACCCGTCGAAAATGCCGTTATATTATCAAAATGTCACAATGTGCGAAAAATTGAATAAATTCTATAGAGTCCTGTTTCTCAGCACTTTACAATAACCCTTGTTCATGAACTGTGTGCTCTTAAACAAAATTTTCATTTGGTCGATATTTTGCTGTTAGGATCAATTCGTTTTCCTTTTTTAAGTCCTAAGATATTCGTACCATGCTATACCAAGTTTTTGCCATGAAGAATCGACGACATCTGTGCGTCGATGAAGGTTTGACACTTAAGGACTATTCTTTCACGACGGTAGTGACTCTTGGCATCGGGATTTAATCTTAGGGGTTTCCAGGTTTCAATGTGGAACTCCTACTCTAGTGCAGATGCTGCTGAGTTTCTAATAGTAGAAAAATACAGTCTGTATATATTCAGGCATATGTACATAGCTACGAGGCGGATAGCCGGATAGCACAGTAGTAGTGATGTCCGTCATCACGAGCATGATGCTAGTTCGATTCCACTCAGGGCCAACCAAGCATGTCATCCGTCCGGGGTCGGGAAATTGGTACCGGACTTGCATGGGAAAAAATCACCCTCTGCAGTCCAATTGGGAACGCTCCAGCCCGGCTATCTCGGGACTCCAGGGAGAATTGCTCGACCTGCATTCTACGACATAATCCTCAAGCAGGAACCGAAGCCACACATAAAAGTTGTAAGATCTTCGTGGACGATGGGTGCGAGGAAACGAATTGGATATGAAAAGTGCTGGGATCCGCACAGTAGACGTGAACATGGATGAAATAAAATAAAAAAGTATGTGCATAGGTATTTAACTATGTATGCGAGAATAATATCGCCCATTTTTGGATACGCTACACAGCCTTGTTAGTTATAACCGGGTAGAGAAACGTCACATGAGGGAGTTTAAAGTTCCCTCGATAGTGTTATCCAGGTGTTCGCAATAGAACAGTTATGTTTGGCTGCATGTCTGCACCTAATCATTAACTAGTTCACGATAATACGCATTGGTTTTAATGCGTACATTGATGAGTGGGCATTGTGACTGCTACATACTGATCGTAACACATTTTCTTTTGCATTTTGTGCCTCACTTCCTGCTGCTCTGCATTTGTACTTAATCAGTAGTTTTCCTATCATAGACGATGTACCATGGACAGTCCAGGGAATGTTAATCTAAGCGCGTAGTGCTCTACAAAAACCCTTTTTCAGACGATCGCCTGCTCGCATTGCTTCCAATGCGTATCAGCGAGCAGCATTGTCAAGATGTCGATTTTTCTGCGGAGAAGTCGGTTAGAGGAGTTTTTCTGCCAATCATATCTCTTCGTTCGCTGTTCTTCATCTCGTCCGCTTTTCTCTTCTTTCTTAACGTTCAGACCCTCTACATCACAAATATAAAAAAAACCCGTTTACAATGTGAACTAGCAAATATTACTGCGCATGATGATTTTCATGTGACTCTCTGATAGCGAAAATAGGGTAAATCTTTCATTGGGTTGATTTGTTTCAAAGACATAAGAAATAAACTTGAAAACATAACGAACGTTTCAGATCACGAGACTTTGGATATGTCTAGTCGAGATCCTCGCAACGGTTTACCGCTGAAGTTTACGTGGTTGTATCACAGATGGAGGATCGATTGAATGTTACGAATATATGGGACAGGATCATGAAACTATTTGACCTGATATGGCTATATAAAACTTGCCTTTGCTGGAATCCTTTGGATTCCTATATTTTCCATTTCTCATTGAACAAGTCGTTCGTCGTGAATTGTCGAAAGCAAGATGAACATCACCTTTATCTTTTCATTTCACTCCTATGATATCTTTCGTTTCTATATTTGCGTGGAAACTACTTTTCAATTGCATCATTCTTTTACTACAACTTCATTTCGTCGTCCTTCGATTCATATTGCCCAAAGTGAACAGAGAGAACAGATTTCGTGACGGATGATCTCCTAGTCATCCATCCAGTTCACTTGGCATCCAACTCGTCAAATAGGTGTTTTTTTTTGTTGTGATGATTTCAGTTCAGTTCGGTGGAGAAGTTCCGAAACAAGTTATTGTGTTCTTATGCAATATTATTAATGAGCTAGCATGGTATCCTTTCCTTTATCGGAACCGAGTTTTTCTGTAGTGCAGTTAGAGTGAGACCGCGCCATTTCACCAGACACACAAAAGAAAGTCTAGCGGAATGTTAGCCACTGCGAACTACTCAATGTGTTAACAACCCATTATCAGCTCATCAGTACCACATACTGAGAAAACCGTAACTTGTTCATCATTGCTGAAATTGGTTTGAAGGTTGATTTTACTTGCTTGGATACTTGGATGACCTCTCTTCCACAGTTGTGCAGGTACCAGCATAATTTCCATTTTTTCGGAGTTTTGCTAGCTTTGCTACTGTGGTTCTCTGGAGTCCCGAGGTCAGCAGGGCCAAACTCTGCTACAGGTCGTCCCACCACAAACAGTCGCCGCCCTTGTGGATCAGAGGAAAATTTGCCACCATGTGACTAGTTTGATACCAAGAAGGTGGTGGATCCTCGTATTCGTTCGCTCTTAGGTAAGCTTTCTGATGGAAACTCCGGACTCCTTCTCGGCTTGGGAGATCATACAGAGAATGAACCTCCCCAGTGTACACCGTAGCCCGATACGCAGAAACACCTCCCAGCTACAATGAGGCGGTAAATAGTTGAGAAGCGATTGACCGTCGGAATTGACTAAAGTGAAAAAACTGTAACACCGATATTCTTCGTATGGTCAATATTTTGTACTGGTTGTCTTCGATCCTGTCTGCCTTAAAAGCCGACATCTCTACACATGGAACCTACGAGGCTAACGTTGTATTGCTGTAACATGTTAGCGGTACCTTAGCATTTAAATCAAATGGGCACTGAGTTTTTCTATTAAGTTTCCACGACATTACCTCCATCTATCAATTCACAAACAATAAAGCGTTCGGTGTTGATCGATCCCTGAGGCGATGTAGCACGTATTCGATTCCGTTCGTACCGTCGTAGAGTGATATAATGTATATTTAGCTCATACTATGACTAACGGCGGCAACTTATGTACTAAACCAGTATTTTTATCTTTTTAAACAAATCCGGCATCAATTTGCCGACCACCAATTTGGAAGGCGTGAGGTGTTTGCAGCGCAGGATCAAACCAGCAATCGATCCAGCGTGTGTTGCAAGGCACCTGTAACCACTGCGCCATACGTGTGATGCCATACCGATATAAATGAATTCATTTCCTATTCATATCTGTATCTACTGCATACAAAACCTATTCTTTTTCTCTCTACACATGAAACACAGCCGTTCAATTCTAATTTCCTCGTAAGAGTTGTAGATTATTCTGGAATACTTCGTTGTCTTGGATCGGATGTTTGAGATAAGCGTCTGTCTGAAGCGATTTCGACGTATCATCGAGAATTTGCCCTAATTACAAGGATGATCCGGCTCCATTCCAAACAGTGCCAGAAAAAATGTAAAGCAAAGACTGTTGTTATCAGTGGTTTTCCCTTATCAGTGATCACGGCTGTGGTTTCTTGTAATGTCATGATTTACGATAAAGACGGTCAGAGAACGAAAGCGAATCTTGTCACCATCAATCTTTCATGTTTCAGGAATCCCTGATCCACCTTTTCCTTCAATTTGTAAACATATTTCATTTGTTTTGGTGAATGTTCAGTTGCAATATTGTTTTTTTCTGACCGATGACTGTAATCGCCTCATATTTTTTTTATTTATATGACTCCACTTCACATATTGGGCAGGTCCCACTACTGCTATGCCATCGGCTCGCTTTTCAGTCATTCATTGAGTCTTTCGGATTTACATGTAGATTCCTCTTGAGGATTTTTCTTCTTCATATGGTTGCTGAGTGATGGTCGAGTTAACTCCCTCTGGAATCCTGGCTACCTTTACCAGGCCGTTCACAGGTCTTCGCCATAAGCTGCCGTTAGTCTTTGTGGATAGAAGACGGCTTTTGTTAGAAAAATGTACTATAAATTTTTCAATTCCAGAGACGTGGAAGGCTTGATTAGTTGAGATTGGAATCGAACAGGCAACTATGTATGTGTATTATTGCACGACATCTGTAGCCATTGCGATTC